GAGACAGTGTCAAAAGCCTTGCTGAAGTCCAGGTAGACAACATCCACTGCTCTCCCCTCATCTACCCAGCCAGTCACTCCATCATAGAAGGCTATCAGGTTGGTCAAGCATGATTTCCCTTTGGTGAATCCATGCTGACTACTCCTGATCACCTTCTTGTCCTCCAGATGCTTAGTGAGGACCTCCAGGAGGAGCTGTTCCATCACCTTTCCCGGGATGGAGGGCAGGCTGACAGGCCTGGAGTTCCCTGGCTCCTCCTTCTTGCCCTTTTTGAAGACTGGGGTGACATTGGCTTTCTTCCAGTCCACCACCTTGCCTTCCTGGCCTGTCTTGCCTAAAAAGCACATAGCCATCCATGACAGCTTTCCAGGCATGTGAGCTATCCCGCCATGTTTCTGTCACTGCAATGAGATTATGGCCCTGCGACAGCACACAGATCTCTAATTCTTCCTGCTTATTCCCCATGCTGCATGCATTGGTGTACAGGCATTTCAGAGAAGCAATCGAACATGCAGGTTTCTCAGGAGCGCAAGAGGATCCTCCATAGCCATGTCCCGTACACACCCCCCTGACTGCTTGCACCCACTGGAGGCATCCTGACTTGAGCGGTGTTTTGCTGGCTACTCTCTCTCTCTAACTCTTCCCTTCCCCCATCTTGCCTAGTTTAAAGCCCTCCTTACCAGGCTGGCCAACCTGTTGGCAAAGACACATATGCCCTGCTTAGTGAGGTGGATCCCAGCTCTCCCCATCAGCTGTCGATCTTCAAACAGGGTGCCATGCTCATAGAAACCAAAACCCTGTTGCCAACACCAGCGGTGCAGCCAGTTGTTTAACTTGGAAAATCCGTCTACTCCTCCTCCCATCCTTCCCCCTCACAGGCAGGACTGAAGAGAAAATGACCTGGGCTCCCAGACCCTTGACCACCATGCCCAGAGCTCTGAAATCCTGTTTGATGGTTTCCAATTTGCACTTGATCTCACAGCCACTGAGATGCAATGGGAAATCCTGGTCCCCCGCCCCAGGCAAGGAGGAGTTCAGGCATGCAATGGAACAGGCACGAATCAGTCGGAGCTGAATCAGGATGGAAAAGCGTGGAGGAGCCCCAGTGCAGAGGCAGACATCCATTCACACAATGCCGTGGGGCGGGCAGGCTCTTCCATGATCCGAGAGGCTGCAGGTGGCCTGTGCTTCCCAGCACATCCAAAATAAGTTATTTACCCCCTCCTCCTCCCCTGCCAAAGCCTTGTCTGGTGTCAGGCCATCCCGGGAACCTGTGCTTGGCATCTCAGCACCAGCCCTCTCCCATGCCAGGCTGCTCCTCCCCTGTGTCTATGACCACTTCTAACTGCAGGATTTTGACATGCTCCACACAGTGTTTAAAATAACAGTAGAATGGTTCTGCTAAGCTTCAGTACATTATCAGCATCCTCAACATCCACGCTTCAGCTGTGCTCTCCCCAAACTGTG